CTCGGGACAGCTTGCTCTGCATCACCACCGCTCACACGGCACGGGCAAACAGCATGGAGGAAGACACAGACAGTCTTAGAACCACCAGAAAATTGGTCTTTTATTCTGTCTCACCTAAGGAACGTTTTGCCCTCTTCTCCCGTGCCAGCCCCCAGCTGGCGGGGTCTGTGCAGTCAGAGCACACACTGTGCAAGGTCTTTGTCCCGAGTTCCCCTCTGGCTTAGGCGAGGGCTCACGGTGCTTAGCCTGCGGACACCAGCATCTCCTCATCTCCCGGCAGAGCCAGCCCTCCTGCCCTCCAGTGAACTGCCCCAGCAGTCTACCCTGATTCTCAGCACCGTGGGATAAAGGCAGTAACAAATTGGATTCACCGTTCACCCAAGGCAATCCTAAAGCATCAACTTCGTGATGGAAGTGCCCGCATGGTGCCAATTTTATTAGAGCCTTCTCAGTAGGAGGGACCAGCGGAGACAGCAGGAGGCCTCTCCCAAATGAGGGGATGGGGTGTCAACAGCAACACATGAACATTAAAACTCTGTGCAGCAGTTACCCTTTCTGTTCACACCCAGGTCCTGCCTCCTTCATGCTTGCCCCAAGGGCCAGCCTCCACGCTGCACCGTTCCACTGCTCCCGGCTTTTTGACACGATCAGAACTCAGGCTGCTCTCCCTGCACCAAGGGTACCAACAACAGTCACGCAGCCCGCCCGCCCTCCCTTCCCACCCTCTGCATTTTCATATAACCCAAGCTACTGGTGTTTCACAAAATATGGAAAGAGAAAAATTAACGTCAGCTTAAGCAGACTAAAGGCCAGGGCTAAAGGTGCAGGGGGAAGCTGGGCAGATGGAGCGCAGCCCTGCCCTGAGCCAGCACGTCCTGCGCGACAGGGAAGACTTGCACGAGCTCCCTCAGGCACCGACCGGCTGCCTCAACACATCGGCCCCACTAACAGTAAATATTGCAATGTCAGATTGCGTTTTCAAGCTGTGGTTTGGAAAGATGAAATACACGGGCTTATAACTTACACCTGTTTGTAACAGCAACCCCTTTCCGCCCCTCTTCCACACCTGCTGCATTTCTACTGACTGCGCTCCCACTGCATTCCTGTGACAGAATTGTCCAGGTCAGCCAGGTTCTGCTCAGACAGACCCCTAGGAAACTGCTCGGTTTAGGAAACCACACCAGGAGATGAACCTCTTCACAGCAGGGAGCATTCGCAAGGCTGTCTGACAAAAAGAAGTATTGCCTGGCCTAAATGGGAAATAATTGACTCAGCCCTTAATCTAGCCCAAAATAGAAGACTAAACAACTGATTGATCCAAGACTGTAGGACGATCCTCTTATCAATGCTTAAGGCTGCAGTTGTCAATAGGATCTATTGCTAAAGAAAAAAAAATGAGCAATTTGGGTCAAATTATGAGTATGTGACTCACTGCAAAATACTTCTTGTTCCTTGCCTGTGTCGGTTTGGGAGCTGTATCGGGGTCCTCGGGCTCAGGGTTGGGGTACAGTCCTAAAGCAGGAGCACAGCAGTGCCTGGAAAGAGAACCATGCTCCATTTGGGAATTTTTGCCAGTGAAACGCAAGAGTGCTAGAAGCCTACTGCAGATCACGTGCCAACCCTTGCGTTTCTTTCATGTCTGGGATTTTAGTGCCCTGCTTCCTCTGGAACAACCAGAGGGCGTTACAGTTTTAAACCATGGACTCTCTCCTGCCAGCTGTAGCGCCACTTGAGGTACCAGCAGGGATGCTTTCCTCCTCTCTGCCTTCAATTATTGGTTTGCACAATAGCAATTTGCATTTCATTTGCATGAACTACACACAACTCTCCAAGAGCCTGAACGGTAGTCATACCCAGAGCCCAGCCAGGACACTTCTGGCAGGGGAGGGCTGGGTATTAGGAAACATTTCTTTACTGAAGAGTGGCGAGCCATGGGCACTGGCTGCCTGGGGAAGCGGAGGAGCTGCCATCCCTGGAGGGGTTCAAAAACCACAGAGGCATGGCACTTTGGGACATGGTTTAGTGGTCACGGTGGTGTGGGGCTGACAGGTAGACTTGATGACCTTCAAGGTCTTTTTCAACCTTCGTGATTCCATGAAACCTGTCCTCAGGTT